TTCTTTTTATCATCCAGATCCGATTTGGTAAGACACCAAATGCTGAAGCGTTCCAAACAATCCTCCACCTCCTGTGCAGTTGAATGTACACTGAGGGATTCCAATTCAGATAACATTGTGATGAAGAGAGAAAACATTCCGGATTGCGACGCCAAATGTGATAATTAGAATAGTGGAGGTATCGTAACTTACCGAATGTACGCGTAGTATAGAAGTCCGAATATGGACGAATGAATATCGTATATTCTCGAATATCGCGGGTGTACTATCAATCGCATTGTAAAACAAGTGCATATAAAAATACACTAGACAGAATGAATAGAATAGAGTCAATGTTCACCACAGATAGGCTGGTATCGGATATCAGATTTTTGGACTTCTTCGCGACCTACACGTTCTTTTGCCTCCAAACTTCAAGTCTTACGAAAATCCAGGAAAATGTACGCCGGATTAAGAAGGTGATGTCGGAAAGAACGTTTCGAGTGAAAGTAGGCTCGATCTACTCTTCTTCGACATAGGTTTCTATTGGAGCTCCTCAAGACACTGTTTTGGCACCACTGCTGCCTTTGATCTTTGTCCGCGGTCTTTGAGATGCATATTCAAGTCTGTCTGCTTTTTGTGGGTGGCATGAAATCCAGGAGTTTCAACGCGATGCCATCCAGTGGGACGTATGCACTGCAGAGCTGTGGTCACCGGACTGGTATCATTCTCGAAATGATGAAAAGCGCATCCATGTGTATTTCAGAGGCAACTTGACAAACCCCTTCGTTATGTAGAGTGAGAATGGTCCAGCAGACATTACGAGGGTAGATATATTAAAGGACTTATGTGTCGCACCCTCTTCAAACACGTCCTTCTTACCTCAGCATGAATAAGCATCTCAAATGCATTCGTCGTTCTAAGGGTGATACGGCTAGCCTTCCCATGTATTACTCATATGTACCTCTAGATACTCTATCGGTCTTACGTCAGATGGCTTCTTGGAAATTCCAAAGATGCTGTATACTCTGTGCTGATGAATAAAGTACCACTCATTGAGCGCGTCCAAATAAATGCTATGGAACTGGTTGCCGACCTTATATCCCTTGCTTGTGAAACACATCTAGCGACATCTCACCTCTCTCCTGTGAACAATTGTTGACCCCATGGGGGCAGAATACCTACTTGTGCTCCATCTGAACAAGGTTTCCCAACCAATTTTCACTGTTGCTTCAAGTAATACACGGTGGGGTCACGGTAAGGATACTTTAAAGTTCAGAGCAGAATTTTTGAGGAACGGTTTTTCTCGTTTAAAGCAGCTGGTGCTTGGAACAAACTTCCTCCGACAGTTTACCACGCTACCCTAGTACCTATTTGAAAGCTCATTTTAACGCAATCTCAATATCCCGTGCTGAAAACTTACAGAACGATGCTACACCGTTTTGCGCGTGTGCCATTCAGGTCAGAGGAAGCTACTGAACAACAAAAAACGACCGGGGAAGCTTGGGCGAAAGCCTCGATCTGGTGCATTATTCCGTGAAATCACGAGCTCATTTTCCTGTTTTCCTAGCATTCCACGAAACGCAGAACGGCGTTGACCCGCACTCCTTAGTCGTCACCGCGTTAGTGGCCATTCAATGGCCATGACAAAGTTGATGCACATATACTTGCTGCCCAGTCACTCACCAAGCTTCCGAATTTCTGCTAGTTTCAGAGAAAGTTTCCGCCTAACTCTTTTAAGAGCAACTCCCAATCTTGCACCCTTTTAGCCACAACCAGTCCCATCATTCCTAGCACCGCAATTTGAGAGTGCGGCTTTCTCCACTTCTAGCTGCACCCCCAAAACTGGCGAGCAATATAAAGTGCTTTTCGGTCCTAGGCTACGGGTCCTACTTCTCGATTGGTTGGACTGGCACCTTCCTCTGAATGATGAGGGGATTCAGCGAATGCCTTTGTTATGCATGGTGAAAAGGGACCAAAAAACATCATGAGGATAGATGCCACAAACATTTGGGCATCTGGGTCTCCTCAAACTTGTCCTTCTCACTACACCATGAGAAATCGGTCCAA